ATCGACCGAATGTACTCCGCCAAAAGGATGGGGCAGCGCCGGCGCAACTCACTGGCGTGCTCCAGTGCACTTCCTTGGCCCGGGATGGGCCCCGATAGCGGTTCTGGCGGCGTCGGGGCAGCCCAGACGTCGCATGCGCACTCCTGCGGACAAACGGGTTGGGGCATCCTGTCGTCAAGCGGCAAACATATCTGTAATTTATATAGGGGGGATAATAAAAAAAATGGACCTCCAAAAGACCTGGGTTTCATACTCAAAAAGACCTGGAAAAGCATCAAACCTGGGAATCAGACCAAAAGACCTGGGTTTAAAACCTGAGCATCGGACTTCACTATTCCTCCGTCGTGCCGCAGGCCTTGAAGCTCCGATTCGGGTCGCTGCAGTGCGCGTTCCAGCGCTCGACGTGCTCGTAGCCGAAGGGCGACACGCAGGGCGCGACGCAGATGTTGAACGAGTCCCGGTACTCGGCGAGCTTCGTGTGTAGAAAGAGAATCGCCCCCTGGACGCCGGACGTCTCGTAGCCACGCCGCCGGTGACCAATACGCATGGCTTGTTTCCGTCCCAGTCTGCGGTGGTGACGGCCTTCAGCGGGTAGCGCTCGGGCGCCGTCGAAAGCGATCCATAATCATGCACGACCAAGCCCTCACCCAAAGCATCGAGCTTGCTGAGCACCTCGTCATGGTAGGAGCGTTTTCTCCGCGTTTGATTCAACCACATGCTGCGCTCGGCGGCGCCCCACGCCTGACCCTTCGTGCCGATGCGGTAATACGCACCGTCGTCGCATTTCGGGCAGCCCTGTCCAGGCATTCCGCTGTGACGATCCCGACGCGCGCGTCGTCGTTGCGGCGCCAACATTGTGTTCAAGGACAACAACAACGTCGATCTCAAGAGTTGGCTGCTTGGCGATGCGAGGAGCGTGACCTTGCAAGCGTCGCCCCGCAGCGCAAGCAAGCAGTCGACGCGTCGTCGCAGTGCACGCAACAGCCTTCGCCCAGCGCAAGCAAGCAGTCGACGCGTCGTCGCAGTGCGCGCAACAGCCTTCGCCCAGATGGAGCTCGTCACGGGCGACGAGACGGGCCTGCTGAAGGCGCTGCGCGTCGACGGCGGCAGCCAGCAGCAGCAGCGCATCGGCGACGAGCTCCAGTCGCGGAGCCGCGGCGTCTGCCGCCTGGCGCTCGACGGCGCCGGCGACGGCCCCGAGCGGTTCCACGCGGCGCTGGCCAGCGGCTGCGTCGAGACCTACGAGCGGCACGCGGGCGACGACGGCTGGCGTTTGGCGTCCGTCGCGCGGGGCCTCGCGCCGGAGACCGTGGGCCTCTTCGCGGCGGGCGGCCGCGTCGTGAGCTGCGGCCGCGCGGGCGACGTGCAGGTGTCGTCGCTGGCCGAGGACTGCGGCGACGTCGCCAACGTCGACGCGTCCGAGGGCAAGGACGGCTTCGACGTGAGCGCGGCCGCGTACGACGCGGCTTCTAACCGCGTGCTCCTGGGGGGCAAGGAGACGGAGCTCGCGTGCGTGGACCTCGCGTCGGGCGCGCGGGTCTGGCGCGCGAAGAACGTGCCCCACGACAAGCTCGACATGCGCCGGCCCGTCTTCGTCGGCGCGGCGGCGTTTTTAGGCGAGCACGAGTTCGTGGTCGGCACGGCCTACGCGGAGCTCCGCTTCTACGACGCGCGCGCGAGCCGGCGGCCGGTCCACGAGGTCGCGGGCGCCGTCGACCGGGGCGCCAGGGCGCTGGCGACGCTGCGCGACGGCACGGTCCTCGTCGGCGACATGACGGGCGACGTCCGGGCCTACGACGCGCGGACGCGCGCGATGACGCGGCGCTTCGCGGGGCCCTCGGGCAGCGTCCGCGAGCTCGCGGCGCACCCGGACCGCGCCGGCCTCTTCGCGGCCTGCTCGCTGGACCGCCACGTCTACGTCTGGGACGCCGCGGGCAAAACGCAGGCGCCCGTCGCGACGGTCTACTGCAAGCAGCGGCTCCGGTCCTTCCTCTGGCTCCCGGACGACGAGGACGACGTCGTCGCCGACCTCGAGGACTCCGACGAGGACTAGGCGCGTCGGCGTTAAGAAGCGCGCGCGTTCCAGAATTAGAACAGGTCGCTCTCGGCGACGGCTTGTTGCGCGGCCGGCGGGTCGTGGCGGATGAGCCAGAAGGGCCCCGCGCCGCAGCGGTCGAGGTACTTCTCGAAGGTCGGCGCGACGGAGACGAGCCGCGTCGCGTCGCGGAGCTCCGGCGCGACGTCGTTGTAGTCCATGGCGAGCTCGACCTCGTCGAGGATGACGCGCTCCGTCTCCGGCGGGATGGGCCGGAACGACTTGAGGTGGCAGTAGAAGGGCAGGTCGACGAGCTCGCCCGACGACCGCGCGTGGAAGACCATGCAGCCGCGCCGGAGCACGAGCCAGTCGCGGAGCAGCTCGCCGCGGATGGCCTCGTCGAAGGCGTGGCCCCAGTCGTACCAGCCCGCGGTCATGACCAGCGCGACGGCCCGCGGCTTCAGGACCGCGGCCGCGAGGCCCCGGAGGCACGCGGCGCCGAGCTCCTTCTCGTCGGCGCCGAGCGGCTCGTCGTCCGCGTCGCCGGGGAAGCCCATCCAGAACATGGTCGAGCAGGACACGAGCGCGTCGTAGCGCCCGGCGCCGGCGACGTCGAGCGCGGCCGCGAGCGCCCGCGCGTCCGTGATGTCCGCGTTGACGACGCGCTCGTAGCCGCCGCGCGCGGGCGCCGCGGGCGCGAACCAGGGCAGCCGCGGCGCGCCGCCGTGGGCCCGCGCGAGGCCGAGGTCCGCCTCGAGGATGTCGACGCCCGAGACGCGGAGGCCGTGGGCGCCGTCGCGCGCGCCGAGCGCCCGGAGGAAGCGGCCGTTGCCGCAGCCGACCTCTAGAATCCGCGCGCGCGCGGGGATGTGGCCCTTCTTCAGCGCGTCGAGGACGACCTCCGCCGCGCGGTCGCTCACGCGGTCGATAAACTGCGCGCGAAAGACGGGCGAGTCGCAGATATCACAACGGTTCGGGAGAGACGGTTCCGATCGAAGGAGGATCTCCCGCCTCTCGTAACACGCTCGTCGGACGCCGGGTTGACGCACGTCCGGGAAGTAGGGGTGCGCGAGGGGCCGCGTCCGCGTCTCCGGCGGCCGCGGCGTCGGCGCGAAGCCCGGCGGCAGGCCGCGGAACGCGACGTCGGAGATGCGCGCGAAGAGGTCCCGCGACATGGGCAGGCGCTGGTAGAGCCTACGGCGCGCGCGTCGTCTTCCCCCCTCGAAACTCGCGGCGGGACGCCGGCGCGCGCATGTCGACGGGATCCATGTCGAAGACGCCGGCCCAGAAGGCGGCGTCGGGCCAGCGGTGGAGCTCGCGCTTGATTGCGGCGCGCTCGTCCGCGGGGCACGGGCCCCGCGCGAGCTCGAGCAGGTCCGCGGGCGAGAAGCCGCGGACCATGGGGTCGTCGCGCGGCAGGCGGAACGGCGTCCGCTTGCTCGCGGCGCACCGCTCCCGGTGCGCGGGCCACGCGCGCCGGAAGCACGCCCGGCCGCAGAACGTGCCCGCGTTGCACGCGGAGCACCGCAGCGGCTTCGCCGGCGCCGCGCCGCACGCCTCGCAGCGCCTCGCGTCGTCGTCGAGCGGCGCGGCCGGCGCCGGCGGGGCCGCTTTCCTCGCCGGCGGCGCCCAGTTCGCGGCCGCGCTCTTCGCCCAGGTCTCGGACGCGCTCGCGGCCGGCGCGGCCGCCTCTTTCGCCGGCGCGGCCGCCGGTTTCTGCGCCGGCGCGGCGGCCGATTTCTTCGCCGGCGCGGCCGCGCTCGGGGCCGCGGCCGCCGTCGTGCTGTTGGCCGGCGCGGCCGCGCGCGCCGCCGGCGCCTTGCGCTCGCGCACGCAGATCATGATGCGCCGCGAGTCGAGGAGCTCGCCGCAGGTCGCATCGCTGGGGAGTTTGGTCCCGTTGCACTCGAGGCTCAGATTCGCGGGATCGACCTCGCGTCCGACTTTCTCTCCGTAGCTCTTGGCGAAAGCCTTCGCGAGGGTCTTCGCGGCATTCTTATGGCGCCGCTTGTCGGGCACGTCCACCTTTACGGAGAAGCTGCGGATGCTCGGCCGGAGCGAGAGGGAGCTCTGGAGCGCGCCGCCGGCGAGCTGAAGGATGAAGCTCATGATAACGACACGGCTCTGGTTGGTACACGAGGCTAATTCCACATCTGCGTTTTTGCTTCCGGTGGCCGCACGCGTCGTAGTATCCGCACAGAGGAGGACGGTTAACACGGTTTGGGCAGCGGCGCGACTTCGCTGGCAGTGCCAATCACCTCGGCCATTAGAGGCCAGGGCTGCTTCACTCACGGCATCTCAGATAACTTGAACATTTTAACTGAACATTTGGAGTTTCTTTTCGCGCATGGACTACCTTTTTGGAAGGAGTGATGGGGCGTCGAACAGGAGTGATGGGGCGTCGACTCCGTCTAACAAGGAGGGGGAGTCCTACGGCTGGACGAGCTTGTTCCTCGTCGGCTGCGGCGGCGGATCTGGGATCCACGAGGACGAGCCGCGCGACGGCGACGAGGAGCTCGACCTCGCGAGCCACTTCGGTCTCTGCGGGAGCGGCCTGGGCAGCAGCGAGTCCGGCCGGGAAAAGGCCGGGGACGGGTCGCGGAGCGGCGAGGTGCGGTCCAAACGCACGCAATCATACGACGGCGCGCCGCGCATCGTGATACTCGGCGGCTGCGACAAGGACCAGGTCGGCCCCGTCGGCCGCGAACTCCTCATCCCGCGCGGCGCGCTCGGGTCCGTCATCCTCAACAACGTGCGGCCCACGGTCCTCGACAACGCGCAGGAGCTCGCGAGCCTCTACTCGATCCTGAACCAGACCGCCGCGGCCATCATCTCGGTGGACGTCACGGAGCTCTACTGGACGGTCATCGTGCGCCGCTGGGCGGACCGCCTGCGCACGACGCCGGACATCCCCGTCGCGCTGCTGGTCGAAAACGCCGACGTGCACGAGGCCGCCATCTCGCACCACGTGAGCGGCCTGCGCGAGGCCTTCCAGAACCCGCTCGTCGGCGTCTTCTTCAAGTCGCCGCGCGACGAGACGAGCGCCTGCGTCGACACGCTCCTCACGCTCAACAGACGGGCCGAGCGAACGAACTTTCTGTAGTGCGAACTTTCCGTGCCCGGGTAACCTCTCCTCATTAGCTGACATTGACGTCTCGTTGAGTCAACGACTCATTGAGCAAATCGCAGTGGCGGCGGCCTGCGTATGGATGCTCGAGCGACGCTTCGTCGCCCGTGGCTGGTTCGGGCGACGCTTCGCCGTGGCTGGCGCAGCGCATTCGTCGCATGCATGGCCTTCGCCGCGGTCGCGACGAGCGCCCGCGACCCTGAAGACCCGCGCGACGCGGCCGCGCCCGGTCGGCGCCTGCTCGTGATCAACGCCCTCGAGGACGGCGCCAGCGTCGACATCTTCTACGCCGGCGCGCGCGGGCGCGGCGTCTGGACCGCGGACGGCGACGCGCCGGCGCTGCGGGCGGGCGCCATGGTCTGCGTCGCCGCCGACGTGCTGAGCGGCTTCGAGTTCGACGTCGACGTCGGCGCGGTCGGCGACGAGTTCGTCTTCGTGCGGCGCGGCGGCGGCTCCGGCGCGGAGCGCGGCGCCGTCGCGGCCGCGCCGGCGCGCGCGGCGCGCTGGGCCCACGCGCGCGACGACGCGGCGACGGTGTTCCTGCTGCCGGAGCGGCCCGAGGGCGCCGCGGCGGACGCGGAGCTCACGGTCGCCGTCGGCTCGTGGGACGCGGACGCGGACGACTTCGCCGCGCACGCGTGGCGCGACGGCGTCGGGTCCCTCTTCGAGGACGCCGACGCGGCGCTGGCCGACGGCGACGAGGCCGCGGCGGCGGCGAGCTTTTCGCGCGCGCGTATAGCGCTGTCGTGCGCGGCGCTGTTGGGCGACACGGCGGCCGGCACGCTCCTGAGCCTCGGCACGCTCGCGGGCGTCGTGCCGGCGTCGCCGGCCTACGGGCGCTGCGCCAACGCGTCCCTGGAGCGCGCCGCGCCCCTCGACGCGGCCGACCCCGTCTTTTTGGCGCACGCGGCCGCCGTGCGGCGCCACGCGCTCCGGGGCTGCTGGCTCGGGCGCCTCGCGCTCGGCGCCTGGCGCAGCGAGGGCAGCCACGGCTTCGACCAGTCCTGCGACGTCGCCGTGCGCACCTGGATGCGGCTCCTCGAGGGCGTCGCGGCGCCGGGCGCGGGCTCGCCGCGCGCGGCCCGCGTCAAGGTCCGCCACGCGGCGTCGACGCCGAACGAGCTCCTCGTGGACCACTGGCTCAAGGCCGACGGCTTCTGGACCCTGCGCGAGGACGCGCGCGCGGGGCTCGCCGACGACGACGCCGACGCCTTCGACGACGACGGCGCGGCGGGCGGCGCGGCGGCGGCGGGCGCGGCGGCGGGCGGCGCGGCGGCCGGCGGCGCGGCGGCCGGCGCGGCCGCCGGCGCGGCCGACGCCGGCGCCGCCGGCGGCGCCGCCGCGGCCGGCGCGGCCGCCGGCGCCGGCGCCGGGCCGGGCTGGGACCCCGTCGCGTGGCTCCGGCGGCTCGCGCTCGGCCCGCCGGACGACTTCGCTCCCGAGGTCGTCTTCGACGGCGCGCCCGCCGAGGACGCGCCGGCGGTGCTGGACCTCGCCGCGGCGACGTACCTGCGGCGGCGCGCCCTCGGCGGCGACGGCCACAGCGCGCTGACGTTGGGCGACGCGCTCCTCGACGGCCGCGTCGACGACGACGCGCTCCGCGAGCTCCGGCGCGGCGGCGCGTCGCCGCAGCGCGCGGCGGCCGAGTACTACGCGCTCGCCGCGGACGACCGAAACGACGAGGAGAGCGCGGCGCACGCCGCGGCGGCCCTCGCGGAGCTGAAGCTGGGCGGCTTCGACGGCGTCGCCGCGGACGCGCGCGGCGCGCTGGACCTGCTGGAGCGGCGGGCCGCGCTCACGCCCTTCGGCGCGCACGTGCTGGGCCACCTCTACGCGGCCCTGGACGACGAGGCGCGGCACCTCCCCGACGCGAAGCGCGCGCGCGACGCCTTCGAGCGCGCCGTCGACGCGGGCCACCCGGACGCGTTCGTGTCGCTCGCGATGGAGACGCGCGACGCGCGCCGCGCGGAGCGGCTCCTGACGGCGGCGACGCGCGACCACAACTCGCTGACGGCGCCCTTCGTCCTCGCGCGCCTGCACTACGACGGCGCCCTCGACGACCCGGGCCTCGAGCCGGACGCCGACGGCCGCTACCCGTACCCGTCGCGCAACCGGCGCAACCGGTGCCCGCGCGCGCTCGGCGCGCTCGAGGCCGCCGTGCAGCAGTCCTGGGACGCGTCGACCGTGGGCTTCGGCGTCGGCGACGCCGTCGCGGCGGCGCGCGCGGCCTGGGAGACGCCGCGGCCCCACGCGCCGCTCGCCGCGGCCTGGGACGTGGGCGGCGCCGCGGCGCCGCCCGCGGACCGCGGCGACGCCGCGGCGGCCTTCCTCGACGCCCTGAAGCGCCGCTGCGCCGCGCGCCTGAAACGGCGGCGGCGCGACCACGCCCTGGGCCTCGGCGCGCGCGCGCGCGCGGCGGGCGCGTACCGCATGCTCGCGACGCTCGCCGAGGCCGGCGTCCGCGCGGCCGACGTCAACGCGGGCTTCGTGCTCGAGCGCCTCGCGCGGCGCTCGCCCGGCGGCGCGTCGGGCCTCCTCGCGGGCGCACGGCGCCACTACGAGCGCGCGCTCCGGCCGACGACGCCCCACTTCGAGCGCGACAAGGGGCTCGAGCGGCCGTCGCGCGCGCTCGAGGACGCGGAGGCGCAGCGCGCGCTCGGCGCCTGCTGGGCCGACGGCTGGGCCGGCGCCTGCGGCGGCGGCGGCGCGCCCAACGGCACGGCCCTCCTCCGGGCCGCAGCGGCGCGGGGCTCCGAGTGGGCGGCCTTCGACGCGGCGATCGCGACCGCGCGCGCGGGCGACTGGCGCGGGGCGACGAAGATCGCCCGGTCCTGCGCCGGCCGCTTCGACTGGCCCCACGCCGTGCCCTGCGCGGGGCTCAGCGCCCTCCTCGGCGCGCGCGCGGCGCTCTTCGACGCCGCGTGGTGGCGCGCGCTCGACGACGACGACGACGGCGGCGCGGCGGCGGCGGACGACGACGACGACGACGCGGACGACGACGACGACGACGAGGCCGGCGCGGTGGGCTGGGACGACGACGACGACGACGACGGCGCGGACGACGACGACGACGACGACGCCGGGGGCTACGACGACGCGTACGACGAGGCCGCGGAGGAGGAGGACGCGGGGGACTACGACGACGAGGAGCCGTACGACGACGACGAGGAGCCGTACGACGACGAGGACGACGCCGGGGGCGTCCACGAGGACGGCCGCGGCCCCGGCGACGGCGAGCCCCCCGGTAATGGCTAGGACGGTGTCGTGTGGTCCGTTCGATGGCGGATACCGATCTCAAGCAAGTTATTATTGAAGTGAACGGACTGATCTCTCTAACGACGGAGGGAGAGCGCCCGCGTCTGAGAGCTTCGGGCAGCCCCGCCGGCGGCGGCGGCGCGCGCGCGCTCGCGCCATGGGCGTCCTCGCGAAGACCGACTATGGGCGCGAGTACACGGTCAAGGAGAAGAGCGACTTCGCGCAGCTCATCCTCGTCAGCGACCTGGGCACGGTGCAGGTCGGCGAGTTCATGCAGGCGCGGTCCTGGCCCGGCATGCTCGGGTCCACGCTCCTCGAGCTGCAGCGCGCGGTGAAGCGCGAGAACGTCAACGACGACCGCTACCTCAACTCGATCTTCGTGCTCCAGAAGAAGAAGGCGCGGCGCAAGAAGGGCCAGGAGAACGAGCTCCTCGACGACCAGGCCGAGGCGCGCCAGTGCGAGCTCGCCTGGGAGTGGCCCGGGCGCCGCGCGACGTCGACGCTGCGCCTCGAGGCGGCCATGCGCGTGCCGCCGCTCATCGCCAAGGACCTCGTCGACGAGTTCCGCGCGGTGGCCGTCGCGGAGCGCGCGAACCGCATGCGCCAGCTCCGCATGCGCACGGACGACCGCCCGAGGCCCCGGGGCCCCGAGCCGGGCCACATGCTCATCAATTTGGTCGAGGTCGCGCTCACGGAGCACGCGGAGATCGCGAACCCGGAGAAGCCCTTGGTCGAGGCGCTCGTCTGGGGCTCGATCGCGCAGGACCGGAGCTCGCCCGAGGCCCAGGCGGCGGCCATCCACTGCGCCTTCCACACGTCCATGTTCCAGTGGCAGCACCGCAACGCGCTCCGGTCGCCGGGCTACGCGGCCGACGACGTCCGGTCCCTGGGCCGCCACCTCCTCGCGATCCAGCGCGGCGCGTCGCCCAAGCGGTCGCGCGCGCGCGGCGGCGCGAGCGCCCAGGCCTGGAGCCCCGAGGAGGCCGCGGCCGGCGGCGCGCTCGGCGTGCTCCGCGCGCTCATGCGCCACGGCGACGTCGTCGCGCGCATCGGCGCGTGCTGCGCGCTCGCGGACCTGAGCCGCTACCTCACGGGCGCCGTGGACCTGGGCCCGCCCCTCGCGTCCGACGTCGTCCGCCTCATCCACTCGACGGCGCCGAAGCAGCGGCGCGGGGCCGTCGGCGACGTGTCGGGCGAGCTGCTGCCGACGTGCGCGGTCGTCGCGGTCGCGTCGCTCGTCAACATGCAGCCGGACAAGCTCCGCGGGCCGCTCGTCGAGGCGGGCGTGCTCCAGGCGCTGCTGGGCGCGCTCCGCGAGTCCTACCCGGGCGCGCGGACCGTGAACGGCAACGCGACGCCGACGGCGCTGATCCTGCCGCGCCACGCGATGGCGAGCCTCTGCTCGCTGTGCAACGACGTCGCGACGCGGCGCAAGGCGCGGAAGATCGGCTGCCTCGACGCGGCGACGAAGCTCCTCACGAGCGACATCGACCCCCGGAGCGGCACGTGCCGCCTCGCGTACCAGGAGGCGCTGCGGTTCGTGTCGCTCTACATGCTCCTCGACGACGCGTCCGACGCGCTCAACGAGGCCGTCGTGCCCGGCGCGCTGCGGCTCACGCGGGCGCCCGAGGTCGCCGTGCGCAAGGCGGCGCTGAACTCGCTGCTCTACGTCGTCCAGCGCGTCGAGGCGAACCCGACGTTCCTGCTGAAGACGAACTTTTTAGAGGCCATCGAGGACCTGCTGAGCCACTACAAGCTCCGGGGGGAGATCTTGCGGATCTTGCTCGTCCTCGCGAAGAACGAGGTCGGCCAGGAGCTGCTCAAGTTCATGGGCTTCTGCCAGAAGCTCGAGGCCATCGCCGCGGACAAGTCGAACGCGGCGATCAACCGGAGTTTGGCGCTCCGCGTGCTCTTCACCATGGGCGAGTTCGACTTCTTCGACACGGGCGACGCGCTCCGCTGCAGCCACGGCGACCCGGAGATGCGGCGCGACGTCCGGTCCCTCGAGAACCTCATCGAGGAGCGGCTCATGCAGCTCGCGTTCGACAAGCGGCCCGAGATCGAGAAGTCGTTCTCGAAGATCGAGCTCAAGACCTACAAGCGCCTCTTCAACGACTTCTCCGAGGCGGGGCCCCCGCGGGGCGTCGAGGTCAAGCGCGTCCGCGAGCTCCTCAAGAAGTGCTGCACGGTCTTCCGCGACTACAAGACGCGGCGCCACATGACGAAGAAGAACTGCAACCGCGTCGTGTCCATCTACGACACGGACTTCTCGGGCAAGATCGAGTGGGCCGAGTTCCTCGCGATCATGACGGACCTCAAGCAGGGCACGCTCATGGACCGCGTCACGTCCATGTTCTCCTTCATGTAAAGCTGGTGTGTTACGCCGCGTCCGCGGCGGGGAACTCGTCGACGAGGACGCAGCCGCGCTGGACGACGAGGCCGAGGCGCCGCGCGGCGAGGACCACGCGGGCGCCGTCGGCGCCGGGCTGGAGGAAGACGTAGCGCGTGCCGCTCGCCGCGATCGCCTCGAGCTCCCGCTCGCCGATCTTCGGCGACACGACGAGGTTGACCGCGTCGACGGGCCCCGCGACGTCCGCGAACGTCCGCGCGCCGCCGGCGTCGCCGTAGGGCGACACGGGGACGCCGCCGAGCTTCGCGAGGACGCGCGACGCCGCCTTGGCGCCGTTGTGCACGTCGCCGACGACGGCCCAGCGGCCGCGCGCGGCCGCGGGCCGCCCGAGCACGGGGCCGAGCGCCGGCGATGTCAGCGGGTGCGCGCGCTCGTCGGCCGCGCGGTCCGCGGCGACGCGCGCGACGAGCCGCGCGAGGACGGGCGTCGACAGGCCCATGAGGCTGTCGACGCCGCCCTCGACGGCCGCGACGTGCGGCGCGAGCAGCGGGTGCTCGACCATGAGGCCGCCGGCGCACGCCATGACGACGTCCCCGTCCGCCGCTAAGATCTCGTCGACGAGCCCGGGCGGGAAGGCTCCAAAGTCGACGCGCGCGTCGTGGACCTCGACGTGGCGGCGGTTCGTCCGGACGTCGTGGACGACGACGCAGCCCGTCGTGCCGCAGGACGCGCCGCCGTAGGACGCCGCGAAGCGCCGCGCCTCCGCGAGATCCTCCGGCTTCTCGCGGATCGACCCGTCGAAGGTGACGACCTGGTCCCCCGTGACGAGCACGACGTCGTCGTCCGCGTGGTCGGCGAAGTGGCGCGCGAGCAGCGCGTCGCACTTGGCGACCGCGACCGCGGCGACGAGCGACGCGGGGTCGCCGCGCCGGTCGCCGATGGCCTTCTCGTCGATGTCGGGCACGCGCACCTCGAAGTCCGCGCAGCCCATGGCCGCGAGGAGCGCGCGCCGCGACGCCGACTTCGAGCCCATGACGATGCGCGGCGCGTCCTCGGGCATGGCGACGGCGCAGGCGCGCGCCGCGTCGAGCGTGATGGCCGGAGGCGCCGTCAGCGCGCGCGCGCCGGGGAAGGCCGCCATGGCGCCGACGAGGCGCAGGCCGCGCATGTGAAGGCGAGTGTGGAGCTTTGTTGAACTGGTCAACAAAGTCTTCTTGACCCGAAACTCAAAGCGGGTCGACGATGGATGGCAAGACCCTAGAGCGCGCCCCGGCGGCAACCTCAGGCCGCGGTCGCAAGATAGTCGCCAAGGTCCCGTTCACGTACGCGCGCATCGGCGAGACGGGCTCCGGCTACTCGCGGCGGCGTCCGCCGGCGCCGGCGCCGGCGCCGGCGGCAGCGCCGGCGCCGAAGCGGAAGCGGCCCCGCGAGGCGCCGCCCGCAGCCCGCGAGGCGCCGCCGCCGACCGCGGCGGCCCTCTGGCGCCTCGGCGACACGTGCGCCGTGGCGCGCTTCGAGGCGGCGCACGGCGCCGTGGCCCGGGGCGCGTGGCTCGTCGTCAAGACCGTCGCGCTGCCCGAGGCGGCCGCGGCGGCCTTCGCGGACGCCGCGGCCTACGACGCCTGCGGTCGTCTCCTGCCACGCGCGCTTCGCGGCGGCGGCGGCGGCCTGCGCCGCGGCGCGCGACGGCGACGCGCGCTTCGCGCGCGGCGCGGCCGGCCCGCCGTTCGCGGCGCGCGCGGGCCTCGAGCGCGTCGCCCTCGCCGTCGTCGCCGCGGCCGAGCTCCGCGCCTCGCGTTCTTAAAAAAAGGCCTCCCCCTACGCCGGCGGCGCGGGGAGCGTGTCGTCGCCGTCGTCGACGGAGCGCCAGGGCCGCTCCCGCGCCGCGTTCGCGCGGTACCACGCGTCGGGCGCCACGCCGTCGGGGAACGTCGGGTGCGGCGGCTCGACCGCCGGCGGCGCGACGTCGAACTGGAACATGAGCTTGTAGGCCTTCCGGACCCAGGGCGCGGGCGCGGTGATGGCCGGGTCGCGGCGCCGGTCGCGGTACCAGTCGCCCCAGAAGGTCCACTGGCGCGGCGCGAAGCCGTCCTTGGCGCCGTCGAAGAGGACGAGCGCGCCGCTCCCGGCGACGACGCGCGTCTGGTTCGCCATCTCGCGCGCGGAGCCGAGGGGCCAGTTGACGTAGCGGACGCCGTCGAGCTCGAGGTCGTAGCAGAGGTGCGTGTGGCCGAAGACGTGGGCGTCCGGGCCCAACACCCGGAGCTGGGCCTCGATGAGCTCGCTGCCCGACACCTTGGGCAGGTGCGGGTCCACGAGGAACCGCTTCTCCGGCAGCAGCTCGCGCCGCGGCGCGAAGTGGCTCACGGTGACCACGACGGGCCGGCTCCGCGACGTCTGCAGGTCGTCGAGGGCCGCCGCGAGGCGCGGCTCGTTGCGCGCGGCGAAGTGGCGCGCGACGTGGTCGCTCGCGCCGTCGGCCGCGGAGAAGCGGAAGCCCGGCGCGCGCTCGAGGGCCTCGCCCCAGGCGCAGAAGGCGTAGTCGACCCAGCGCGCCCGGTGCTGGGGCGAGTCGAGGCCCGGCGGCGCGTCGCCGGGCCCGGGCTCGCCGTCGCCATCGAAGGCGTCGTCGTACCAGCTCAGCAGCGGCACCGCGAGCACGTCGCTGCCCTTGGCGACGACGAAGCGCGTCGGCCCCGTGCGGATGCCCAGGGACCGGCACAGCCCCAAGAGACGGTCGAGCTTCTCGAGCGAGTCGCGGCAGGCCGCGCCGCCGCGCGCCCAGAGGTCGTGGTTCCCCGGCGTGAAGACGACGGCGTCGTAGCGCGCGGCCAGCAGCTCCAGCGTCGCCCGCACCTTCGCGTCGACGTTGCTCACGTCGCCGGCGCAGAGCAGCACCTCGAAGCAGGACCGCTGGGGCCGCAGGTGGCGCTCGAGCCACGCGACGTTCGCCGGCCGGTCCGTGTGCAGATCGCTGAGCACGTGGACGCGGAGGTCCGCGCCCGCGGGCACGGCGACGCGCGCGACGACGTCGTCGACGGGGTCGTGGCCCCGGAGCATCTTCGCCGAGACCCAGCCGTCGACGCCGCCGCGCGTGACTCTCGTTCGCCGCACGCGCTTCTTCGTCCAGGCCCGGTCGACGCAGCGGACGTCCGCGCCCGCGGGCAGCTCGCCGACCTCGGCGCTGTCGAGCTCGACGCCGGACCGCACGAGCGCCGCCCGGGCGAGCACGGCGGCGTAGGCGTAGGGCTCCCCGTCCCGCGAGCAGCTCGACGACGCCCCGGAGCTGCGCCGCCGCACGGCCTTGGACCGCTCCGACGCGGTGCTCGACACCGACGACGCCCCGGAGCTCCGCCGCCGCGCCGCCGGCGGCGGCGGCCGGTCGCCGAGGGCCGCCTCCGTGAGATCGACCATCGTTGGGGGGCTGCGGTCCACCATCTTCCCGAAGTTTGTCAGTCTCGCACGGCACCGTCAAGTGCACCGTTGAAGAAACCGTCCGTTCCTGCCCATGTTTGCCCTCTTAGTACCGCGGCGTCGCCCACTGGCGCTTGAGGAAGTGGGCGGCCATCTTGGGCTGGCGGTCGCGCGTGAAGACGCCCTTCTTGTTGCCGCCGACGCGGGGGAAGTTCTGGGCCGTGCGGAAGTCCGCGAAGTTCCAGACGTGCTCGCCGACGACGAAGTCGAGCTCGCGGAAGACGGAGATGAGCTCCATGATGAGGTCCGCCTGGTACTCCTCGGACCACTGCTCCGCGGGGAGCGCGTGCATGCCCGCGAGCGCGTCGGCGCCGAACTCGGAGACGAAGATGGGCTTCCCGCACTTCGCGTGCAGCGCGGAGAGCGCGTCGCGCATGTTGTCGCGCTGCGCGGCCCAGGGCGCGCGCGCGCCGACGCCCGGCAGGTGGTACCAGCCCGGGTAGAAGTTGACGCCGACGACGTCGAAGAGGTCGACGACGGCGTCGTCCTCGACCTTGCACGTCACCATGGTCACGGGCCGCGTGCCGTCGAGCGACCGCGCGTCCGCCGCGAGCTCCGAAAAGTAGGGCCGGGCCTCGGGCCGGTTCGTCGTCGCCTCGTTGGCCACGGACCACATGATGACGCTCGGCGCGTTGCGGTCGCGCTCGATGAGCTCCCGGAGCGCCGCGCGGTGGTTCTCGAGCGTCCTCGGCGTCACGAAGTCGAAGTTGATGGACACGGCCGGCGCCTCGGCGATGAGCAGGATCCCCTGCTCGTCGGCGAGGGCGACGAGCTCCTCGCTGTAGGGGTAGTGCGTCGTGCGGTACGAGTTCGCGTTGATCCACTTCAGGAGCTCGTGGTCCCGCACGTTGACGCCGTGGCAGAGGCCCTTGCCCACGATCGGGAAGTCCTCGTGGCGCCCGAAGCCCTGGAGATAGACCGGCGCGCCGTTGAGCAGCAGCCGGTCGCCGGCGACCGCGATCGTCCGCACGCCGAAGCGCTGCGCGTACTCGTCGACGACTGCTCCGGCGCCGTCGACGAGCGCAATCGTCGCGACGTAGAGGTTCGGCGCGCCGACGCCCCAGAACTTGCAATCCTCGATGACGAGATCGACGTTGAACCGTCGCGAATTTCCGGCATCGGCGGGGTCCAGGATGGCGGCGGTCGTCGCGCCGTCGACTGTGATGTGGATGGTGTCGCCGATGCCGCCGGCGCCGTCGACGGCGCCCTCGATCGAGACGCGCCCCGTCGCGCCGTCGATCGTCGTGACGACCCGAATGTCGCTGATCCAGCCGTCCGGCGACGTCGTGTAGAGGCAGACGTTGCGCTGGATGCCCCCGTAGGGGAAGAAGTCGAAGGGCACGTCCGGGTACTGCCCCGCGAATTGGCCGTTCTCCGGCGCGTTGTTGAGGCCGCCCATGGGCACGGTCTCCGCGGAGAGCGCGTTCTCGCCCCGCACGCAGAGCAGGTTGTCGCCGCCGCCGACGAGGTGCGTCACGTCGAACTCGAACGGCGTGTGGCCGCCGGCGTGCGCGCCCGCGCGCAGCCCGTTGACGTAGACCTCCGCGGAGTAGGCGACGCTCCCGAAGCGCAGCACGAGGCGCTCGCCGCGCAGCGCGCGCGGCACGACGAAGGTCCGCGAATACCAGACGCCGCCGGACCACATGCGGAAGCCCTCCTCGGCGTAGAGGTCGTTGTAGGAGCACGGCACGGCGACCTTCTTCTCCGCCTCGAAGCCGTCCTCCTGGCCGCATTTCTCGTGCTCCCGCGCGAGGTCCCAGATGCCGTTGAGGTCCAGCACGCAGCGCGTCTGCGACTGCTTCGGGTAGAGCATGATCGCGCGCAAGGCTGCCCTGGAGTTCAAACGAACCGTTGTTGCATTTTTATAATTCCGGCGGACGTTATCGAAACCGGGCCTTGGACCACTCGTATGTCCCGAACTGCAAAGCGCCGGACACGACGGCGCGGGCGACGCGGGGGGCGATGCCCGCGTACAGCTCCATCACGCCCTCGTCGCGCGCGATCGCGGCCGCGCGCGCCGGGAGCGAGACGCCGCTCTCGTCGCCGGCCTCGAGCGCGCGCGTCTTGCAGACGTCGAGGGGCGTCGTGAAAACATTGGCGGCGGCGGACGCCGCGGACCCGAGGAGCGCCTTGCGGAGCACCGCGTCCCCGCCGCCCACGGCGTAGCGTCGTTTGAGGAAGCGGTACGCGGAGAACTTCACGACGTCGGCGGGCACGGCGTAGCTGTAGGACTCCACAGCGCCCGCGTAGAAGCCCGCGAGGCCCGCCTCGTCGTAGATGCGCCGCGCCAGGGACGCGAGGCCCTCGGGGTCCGCCGCGAGCTGCTGCCGCGTCTTCAGCAGCTCCGACGGCGCGCGCGCGGCCCAGTAGGGGCCGTTCGCCAGCGCGACCGTGAGCGCCTCGAGGGCGAACTCGTCCGCGACGCCCGCGTTCCGCGCGTAGGCCGCGAGACCGTCCTTGACGCCGAAGAAGAGCGACGCCGCGGGCACGCCGACGACGAGCGGCGCGAGGACGCCGCTGTAGGGCCGCGCGAAGGCGCGCCGCGTCAGCGCGCGGTTGCCCGCGGTCTGCAGGCGCACCTTGACCGTGTCGATGGGGAAGAGCACGACGTCCTTGGCGATGCGCTGCGCCGCGCCGCCGGCGAGGCCCGAGAGCACCTCCTTGGAGACGCTCGACGGCGGCGGCGCCGCGGCGCGCGCCGGCGGCGCGAGCTGCGTCGCCAGCGGCGCGGCGACGAGGGATCGCAAGGCGACGCGCCGCGAGGTCGCCGGCGCGGACGCGGCCGCGGCTGCCGCGAGGACGACGAGCTTGGCCATTTGCCTCATTTTGCCACGGCCGTGGATGCCGTCGAGTTGACGAGATGTTGACGCAATCGCCGAACGACTCATACGGCTTGCCTAAATTAATTTGTGAGTTTGGATAAGATGTCGGATCGAATGGCGAGATACGCTTTCGAGAAAATCGATGGTAAAGAGGGCTCCGCCAGTGGTGATGGGCACCTTTGGCAAGCTCTATCTCGGCGCCATGACCACCGATTTGCAAAATTCTTGTTGCATCTGAAAGCCGGCACCGTCGTCTTGCGCGCAGAGCCAATAACTCAAAAACTTCAACAGCATCAGGAGGCGCCCCAAAAAAAAGTACCAGACAACATGACGGATTTTTGGTGCCGGCCCCCGGCGCCCACCCACCCACCTCCCGGCCAATCAACGAGCTCCTTCGTCGTCGGTTGCCTTCAAGTTGCCGCGCCGCGCGCCGCTGGGCGATCGCTGAATTGCCACACCGCGCGCGCGGCGCCGCGGTCGACCGGGAGTCGCCGGTGCCGCGGCAGGAGCCGCCACCGTGCGGCCGCGGGCCACCCGACGCACGCCGGGCGCGGCCCGACTCGACGAGGACACCGCCGTGCTCCATGGCACCTCTTCCCGACTCCCGGTGCGGCGCGGGACGCGAGACGCGCGCGGCCTCCGCGCGCGCGCGCGCGCGTTACAAGTACCCTTTAAGTACACTTTGGGTTTTTGAAACCCGACCTCCGGACCCACCCACCCACCCCGTCATGTTGTCGGATCTTTTGTCCGTGGTCGCCTCCTGACAGCATCATAAACTCGACTTTTTTTCCAACCCAGCCACATTTTCAATCGGGTACGACGCCCTCTGGGGCGCACGTCTTGCACGATTCGGTCCCGCAGGCCTATGCAACAGGAGACCAGCGAGAAGAACCGTGAACCACTCCTCGAGGAAGGCGCCATGGGTCCGCCGAAGGAGGTGCCCAAGCCTGAGCCCAGCGGCGCCTACGTGCTGCTGCTGGTCTGCATGCGCGGCGCCGGCGCCCCCGCGTAGGCGCGCGCCGTCCCCCGCACGCCCGCGCGCCGCAGGTACGCGACGTGCAGCAGCACGCTGAGCGTCGTGAACAAGTGGGCGCTGCTCGCGCTGCCGTTCCCGGGCGTCGTCACGGCGTGCCAGTTCCTGACGACGGCGGTCGTCGTCTACTTCCTGGGCAAGTTCCGCGTCGTCGACGTCGACGCCTTCCGCTGGGAGAAGCTCAAGGCCATGGCGCCCATCAACGTCGTCTTCTACCTCGCCATCTTCACGAACGGGCAGGTGCTCACGTACAGTACCGTCGAGACGTTCATCGCGTTCCGGTCGCTGACGCCGCTCCTCGTGAGCGGCGTGGACACGCTCGTGCGCGGCGAGGCGCCGCCGAGCCGGCGCACGGCGGCCTGCCTCCTGCTCATCGCCCTGGGCGCCGTGTCCTACGCGCGCGACGACGCGAACTTTTCGGTTCGAGGCTACGCGTGGGCGTGCGTCTACCTCGTCGTCATCGTCACGGAGATGGTCTACGCGAAGCACGTCACGGCGACGATCAACCTGTCGACCTGGGGCCTCGTGCTCTACCAGAACGCCATCGCCGTCGCGCTCTGGCCGCTCGCGTCGTTCCTCTCGGGCGAGTTCCGCGCGCTGTCGCTGCTGCTCAACGCGAAGCCCGGCGAGCCCCTCGACTCGCCCTTCGCGCGCGACGTGCCGCCCCTGGGGTTGTCCACGCTGGTGCCCCTGGCGACGTCCTGCGTGCTCGCCATCGGCATCTCGTTCTCCGCGTGGGGCACGCGGTCCGTCATCTCCGCGACGCAGTTCACGGTGCTCGGCGTCGCCTGCAAGCTCGCCACGGTCGCCATCAACGTCCTCGCCTGGAGCCACCACGCGAGCCTCGGCGCCCAGGCGTCCATCGTCCTCTGCATCGTCGCGAGCGTCCTCTACCAGCAGTCCGCGAAGCGCGACCGCGCGGCCGCGAAGACGCTCCCCGGCGCGCACTAGGCGCGCGCGCGCGCGCCCCGCTCGACAGCGTCCGCTCGTCTACGAACGGAGGGGGGGAGGAGGGGGGGGAGAAGGGGCGCGCGGCGCCCCTAGGCGCCGAGGGCCGGGTTCCGGAGCGCGCGCGACCCCGCGGGCGTCGTCGCGGCCTTGGCGAGGCCGACCCAGCCGAAGACGGCGGTGAAGAGCTGCTTGACGCGCATGCGGAGGAGGCGCGCGAGCTGGGGGCTCACGAGCTTGGAGAGGAGGTCGCCCGTCGCGCGCGCGCGCTTGGCGGCCGCGTGGCGGCGGATCGCGGCCGTGTAGTGGACGTTGCGGAGGTGCTTCGTCGACGCCTTCCAGGACCAGTTCTCCGTGTCGCGGCGGCCGCGGCTCGTCAGCCGGTCCCGGAGGTCGGCGTCGTCGAGGATCGCGCCGACCTTCTGGGCGAAGGTCGCCGTGTCGCCCGCGGTCACGAGGACGCCGTTGCGGTCGTTCGTCACGATCGAGGGGATGCCGCCCGCGTTCGCCGCGACGATGGGCAGGCCCGACGCCATGGCCTCGAGGACGACGAAGCCCAGCGTCTCCGAGTCCGACGGCATCGTGAAGAGGTCCGCGGACGCGTAGGCCCTGGAGAGGTCGTCGCCGCGGAGCACCCCGACGAAGTGGACGCGGTCGCCGAACTCCGCGAAGAAGTCGCGGAGCGCGGCCTCGTGGGGCCCGCCGCCGACGACGGCGAAGACCGTGTCCGGCCGCGCGCGCAGCGTCGCCGCGACGTCCTCGAGGCGCTTCTCGACGGAGATGCGGCCCACGTAGAGCAGGATCTTCTCGTCCGCGTGGTTCGGCGCGAGCACCCGCCGCGTCGCCTCGTCGCGGAAGTCGGGGTTGAAGGTGTCCGCGTCGATGCCCTTGCGCCAGACGCCGACGCGCTTGATGTTCTGCTCCTTGAACTCGGCCATGATCTGCGGCGACGTGACGAGCGTCAGGTCTGCGAACGAGTGCGCCATCTTGATCGCGGCCCACGCGCTGAAGCGGCTGAAGGGGAGCCAGCCCGCGTACTTCTCCGCGTAGACCGGGAGGTGCGTGTGGTACGAGAGCACGAGGGGCACGTCGAGCGCCTTGGCGTAGGACACGGCCGCGAGCGCGAAGAAGCCGGGGCTCGACGCGTGGATGACGTCGGGCTTGAAGCGCTCGACCATGCGCTTCGCCTGGCCCCGGATGTCGCCCGTGAGGCAGAGGTGCGCGTAGAGCGGGAAGCGGAAGCCGTCGACGGTCGTGATGGGGAAGCCGTCGTACGAGTCGGGCGCCTCGGGCTTGTCGTCGGGCACGGCGATCGCGACGTCGTCGCCGAACTCCTTGAGGTACTTGAGCTGCTCCTTGAACCGGTTCGCGTAGCCGCTCACGTGCGTGAAGGGCGTCGGCTCCACGAGGAGCGCGACCCGGCGCGGGCCGGGCGTCCGCGCCTTGTTGAGCCGCGCGGGCACCGACTTGACGCCCTTGGCCGCGCCCCGCGCGGCGTCGACGACGCGCTGGCCCCGGCGCAGGCCCTCGCCCTCGCCGTCGGCCGCGGCCTCCAGGGCGCTCGACCGCAGGGCCGTCCGGGCGCGGCGCGGGGCCGCGGGGAGCCGCAGGCCGTGGGCGGCGAGCGCGAGGAGGGCCACCTTCCACATGGTGAAAAGAATTCGGCGGGGGCGGTTGAGCGGGTTTGTGAGGGTTTCGACGCACAGCG